ATTGTCTGTCAACATTTAGAACTTTGCATTTGTCTATATTAAACTGATCTGCCACTTCTCCGCCCAAACTGATCAGTCTATTCAAATTTCCGGGGAGTCTCGAATGTCTCGTCAGATGAATTGCGGCCTATTTTGGTGTCATGGAAACTTGCCGATTCGCTCTTTATGGCCCTATCTATGTCGTTTATTGATTGGAACAGCAGGGGGCCCAAACAACTGACCCTGGGAACACGGGCTCGTGAACTTCCCACTCTGATTTTCCCCATTTATGCAAACTCTCTGCTGCCTATTTGTAACCATGCCTCTATCAGACAAAATTTCTATTCTATTCCATGTGCTTTAATTTTCCTCAATAGTACTGAGTGGACCTTTTCAAAAAGCCTTTATGAAGCGTGGGTTGATGAATGTTGCAGCGAGGAGAAGGCTGGAGGCAGGGGGAGATGTCATGTCTGAGGGGAATGTGTGGTGTGAATATAATGCAGAGAATTCGGGAGTTTGGAAGTTAGGAGGAGGTGCGGGATTACCAAAACTGTTGTCCAGAGGGCTGAGGAAGGGTTGTTGGGTGGTTCGGGGCATGTAGAGAGAATGGAGGGGAAAAAAGAATGACTTTTAAGAGTGTATCAGTCTGTAGTGGAAGGAGGCGGGGTAGGGGTCGGCCTAGGAAGGGTTGAGGGAGGGGTAAAGGGGTTTTGTGTTTCGAGGGGCTTGGGGCTTTCCCGAGGCATGCGTGAGCGTGGGTTTTGATAGGAGTGATGGAGACAATGGTTTTTATACTTTACGGCTTTGGAGTGTGGGAAAGTAACATTATGAAGGGATTCAGGGAAACGGCAGGCCGGACTTGGTCCTGGAGATGGAAGTACAGTGCCTGCACTCTGAAGGAGGGTGTTAAGTGCAGTTTAAAAACTGTAGGGTAAAGCACCTCTGGCAAGACATGATGGAGTGAATGTGGTGAAAGTTTTTCTTTTCGGGCCACCTGCCTTGTGGGAATCGGCCGGTGTGATAATTAAAATAAAAAATCACACTAAGCTTATGTAAAAACCCCCAGTGTCAGGTCGGTTCAAATTTCAGCTCTGGTGTACTTTTCTTAAAGAATTGATTTTACTGGGTTGTGCAAAGTCTCAAATTTTTTAAATTTTATTATTATTTTTAATTTAATCAAGGGGGAAAACGCTAAACCGGAGGATTATACAGCGCTGGGGGGGGGATATGTGGAGGCATTCAGGCTTAATTCGGGGAACTGGAGCACAGATCCAATTCCCTAAATCAAGAGCCCCTCACCAACATCAAGGAACCTTCCTTGAGGGGTGTTAGTTTTATTAAAGTGTGATATTGATTTCCATATAATCACTGGAGATATTTATAAGCAAAACGGGGTGCCCAAACCCCCAGGGTCATACAGCTTTCCCTCACTGGAGGGAAAACCTTCTGATCATTTCAAAGTCTAACATCATGCATCATATTAAGTGGAGATTTAGAGTGGTTTTGTCCTGTGTATGTTTTAATTTGACAATTTATTGAACAAAATGTAACACTGACTAATGTATAATTTCTCGAGTGCTGCTGTACATCGCCTTCAAACTTTCAGTGTCGGTGTGTCTTAAGTGAAGATTTTTGATGGGCTTTGAAGGTTTTGACTGGGTCGAGCTTCAGCTCCTGGTCCTCTGAATGGAGCTGATCTTCATCTGGACATCTTAGGAAGGTTTAATTATAGCTCTTGGATCTCTTGAAGGAGCTGCAGCTCTTCCACCTCTTCCGAGTTGAGCTTCCAGATTACAGTGGGCCCTCGTTTTTCGTAATTAATCCATTCCTGGAATTGTGACTATTATCGAAATCAACGATTTTCGAACCCATTTTCCCCATAAGAAAATGCATTAAAACAAAAAATTTTTTTACATGAAATATAGATGTAGTACATACACAATACAATGGGACATGACGAATGAAACATTAACAGCATAACACTTACCTTTATTGGTGATTCTTCTTAGTGTATGGAAGACTGGAGGAGGAGAGAGACTGGATTAGTTACTGTTTGGAAGGAAAATCCCCTTCCATCAACACCTCAAGTACCAAGTCCTTTTCTGGGGTTACCTCTCTTCTCTTTGTTTCTTAATGCCACTAGACCAACTTGAGAGTCCACTGTAACCCCGTTTGGGATAATACTTGTCCAGAGACCTGTTTCTGGCACTCTTTAAAAATTCCCTAAAATGGGCCCAAAAACTTTGGGACTGTTTCAGTTGCCAAAATGGCTTGCAACAGCCTTGTCAGGGTGATGTTTCTCCATAAATCTTTCCATCCTACCCCACATTTCAAAAACCTCCTTAATTTCTGAAGGCAACTTCTTCCATCTCTCTTCCTCCTCTGCAGCAATATTCTGAGCTGTGGTCTGTTGCTGTTCCTGCTGAAGCTCTTGCAGCTCTTCAGTAGTTAGCTCTTCTTTGTGGTCCTCCACCAACTCTTCCACATCCTCCAAACTCACATCCAACCCCATGGAACTCCCCAATGCCACAATAGATTTCACAACTGTCATAGGCTCATCAGAGGTCAGCCCCCAAACCCTTCAAAATCCCTCGTGGACACAATCTGGCCACAATTTTCTCCAAGCAGAGTTCAAAGTCCTGGTAGTCAATCCCTCCAAACCCTTACCTATAAGGCTTATGCAATGGAGGATACTGAAGTGATCTTTCCGAAACTCTCTTAGGGTCAAGCGAGTGTCTGAGGTCACATTAAAGCACCTTTGAAACATTGCTTTGGTGTAGAGTTTTTTAAAGTTTGAAATGATCTGCTGGTCCATGAGCTGGAGGAGAGGAGTGGTATTAGGGGGCAAGAACTTTACTGTGATGAACCCAAACTCCTCCAGAATTAGGTCATCCAAGTTTGGAGGATGAACAGGTGCATCGGCCATCAGCAGGAGGCACCTGAGATCCAATTTCTTTTCCAGGAGGTAATTCACACTAGGGCCAAACACTTCGTTGAACCACTCGACGAAAATTTCCCTCGTGACCCATGTCTTATTATTAGCTTTCCAAAACATAACATTGTTTTTCCTGAACAGTCTGGGATTTTCAGAATGGTACACTAGTAACGGCTTCACTTTGAAATCCCCACTAGCATTAGCACAGAACATGAGCGTCAGCCTGTCTTTCATAGGCTTGTGTCCTGGCAGTCCCTTTTCCTCCTGAGTAATGTAGGTCCTCTTTGGCATTTTCTTCCAAAAGAGGCCTGTTTCGTCACAATTGAACACTTGTTCAGGTTTCAATCCTTCAGCCTCAATGTACTCCTTGAATTCACTTAGGAATTTTGTAGCTGCAATTTTGTCCGAATTGGCAGCCTTGCCATGCCTTATCACACTGTGTATGCCACTACGGTTCTTAAATCTCTCAAACCAGCCTTTGCTGGCCTTAAATTCAAACATCAGTACTCGTTTCAGGCAATTTCTTTACGAGATCATCATGCAATTGCCTAGCTTTTTCACAAATAAGCGACTGCATAAGACTATCTCCTGCTAATTGTTTCTCATTTATCCACACCAATAATAACTTCTCAACATCTTCGAGATGCTGCCTGCATCTCCACCACGCTGCCTGCATCTCCACCATGCTGCCTGCATCTCCACCATGCTGCCTGCATCTCCACCATGCTGCCTGCATCTCCACCATGCTGCCTGCATCTCCACCATGCTGCCTGCATCTCCACCATGCTGCCTGCATCTCCACCATGCTGCCTGCATCTCCACCATGCTGCCTGCATCTCCACCATGCTGCCTGCATCTCCACCATGCTGCCTGCATCTCCACCATGCTGCCTGCATCTCCACCATGCTGCCTGCATCTCCACCATGCTGCCTGCATCTTCATCATGCTGCCGGCATCTCATTTTTGTCAGCATATTTACCTCCTTTGCAACAACAGCTTCCTTGATTTCCTTTTTCTTGGCCACGATGGAAGCTATGGCTGTATGGGGGTTTCTCATACATCCTGGCCAGTTCAGCCACACGTATGCCACTTTCATATTGCTCAATGATGTTTTTCTTGAATTCAATCGTATTTCTCACCTTCTTTACCAAAGGCCTGGCACTAGGAGCTTTCTTTGGAGCCATGGTAGCTTATTTAGCAGTTGCAAGCACTAAAATGAATGGAATATTATGAAATATTTCGTATAAACAAGTGAGGGGACCGTCACTCACTGGTAAACAATGGCACACTGGCTGGGAAGGGAGAGCAAGGTGGCTTGGAGCCATGTGTACGCGTCCAGGACGAACGACTATTTGCGAGTCAAACGATGATTCGCGAGCCAATGTTTTGACGAAAATAATGTTACTATTTCCGAAAATTACGACTATCGAGCCTTACGATTATTGAGGATCCACTGTATTACAATTAAAGAAAGCACTGAACCGACAAGGGTCATACAGCGCTACAGGGCAGAAAATAATGCTGATTCTATAACTAGGTGGAGAGGGGATCAGAGGCAAAGGGAGAAAAGGGCTGGTAGGGACACTAAGGGCTGTGTGTCAAAGTTCGTACAGTAAAGCAGTTGCTGAAAAAAAGTCAAACAGTGAATATAAGTCAAAGGCTGGGCGTCTGCAAGAAGGGAAGATAAAGTAAGAGTGGCAGGTCGGTGGCGACGCTGGAGGTAATTCCTGAGAGCTCGCTGGTAAACCGGGCAATTGACAAAAATTGAGCTTCCAGAGTGCCAGGTTTATGATACAGGTTACAATGTAGCATAAATCATATGGATACCGAAGCAAGTCTAATATGAAGACTGAGACGCTTATGCAACACATGGGAATTTTTCTTGAGGAAACGTTTCACCACACAAAGATTCCCATTATGTTGCACAAGTGTCTCATTCTTCAACTTGTCGGTTTTCTAAACCATTTATCACAAGTGTAATATAAATAGTATTTTGGGTACCCTTACCACTTTATTCACTGCCTTAACTGCTCTCTTTTCTTCCACAAGTGTATACTATTTTTTTGCCAGTCAGGTTTTTCCTAAGTTTATGTTGGTGTTTCTTGCAGAGAGGAAGCCATGATGGAGTACCTGAAGCTGGCTCAAGACACTGAGATGTATGGTGTCAACTACTTTGATATTGAGAACAAGAAGGGCACAAAACTTACCTTGGGTATTGATGCACTTGGAATTAACGTCTATGACAGAGAGGACAAGTAAGTTACACATTAAATTGTTTTTGGAAACCTTTGATTTAGAGGTTAACACAATGTGGCTTCATGTAGTTAGGTAAAAAGGACACGTGCAACTAATGCAAAAATTTTTTGTGGCAATGTTTCGCTCTTCAGGAGCTCTGTCAATCCATTATGGCTTGACAAAACTCCTGGAAAGCAAAATGTTGCCACAATAAAATATCACATTAGTTGCACATGTGTCCTTTTACCTGACATATTGTTGGTAATTCTACCAACATTATTATATCTATATTGCTAATCTTCATCTTCATTAAAATATGCATTTAACTGAAGAGAAACAAATATTTTGACCTAAATTCACCTTAAATACTGTAATACACTTCCTTAGATTACATGTATTTTGTTTTATTTTCTTCAGCGGGAAGCACTATACCCGTAGGGGCCATATAGCACCTGGGGAATGGGAGGCATTCAGATTTGACCCAAAGAAAGGAAAAATATATCCACTTCCTTGGATCTACAGCCTCTCACTAGCATCAAGGCATAAAGGGTACAAAACACTGAGAGAGGGGGGACAAAGGGTGGAGAAGGGGCAGAGGGGGGAAAAAGAGAGAGAGAGAGAGAGAAGAGAGAGAGAGAGAGAGAGAGAGAGAGAGAGAGAGAGAGAGAGAATAATTCTCTTTGGTATTTATCATGTTGTCAAAGTGTAAGTATAGCATCACCTCACCTTTGAACAGATCCAAGGAACTAGTTAGCTGGATCTGTGGTTTACAAATGTGAGATTCAGTGACAACACTAATAAGTCTGGTAATACTGCTGCAGTTTGGTTGGTCATGCCTAACATAATACTCACAGTTTAATCTGTTTTATAGATTAACTCCCAAGATTGGCTTCCCTTGGTCTGAGATTCGCAACATCACATTCAACAACAGAAAATTCCTCATCAAACCTATTGAAAAGAAGTCCCCAGACTTCGTTTTCTTGGCATCCCACGTAAAAGTAAACAAACTCATTCTGAACTTGTGTATGGGTAACCACGACCTTTACATTCGTCGTCGCAAACCTGACTCTATTGATGTGCAGCAGATGAAAATTCAAGCCCGAGAAGAAAAAAATGCCAAGAAAAATGCCACGTAAGTGCTAATTTAAAAGTTGTATCATATAAATTTATATTTTTAAACCCAAGTCAAAACTTGCAGAATCCTCAAGATAGTGACTGAAATTTCACAGAGACATTATTTTCTTTCAATAATAAAACTATTTTGGATTGTAAAGGTGTGTGAGCTTTCAGCTCACACCATACAGCTACAATTTATTCCTTAAAATACACAGTGTATGGTACACACTTTTTCCAGTTTGAAGTGAATAAGTCATCCAAACAAAAGAAAGTATCTTTAATAAATTGCTCTTCAGCAAGTTACACTATGCATGTAAACCCTTGATTGAACAAACTTTTGGAAATGTGGACAAAATCTGCTGGGTCAACTGATTCAGAAACAATGGACAAAACAATTCCCTATTAGTCTACTAAATCAAGGTTGTGCTGTATGTACAGTTGACTCTGACTTAGTGACCTAGCTTGGGACCAGAAGAATGATTCATTAAGTGAATCTGATTTTTCCATAATAAACAGAACAATAACTAGGTAGTAGGTTGGTAGACAGCAACCGCCCAGGGAGGTACTACCGTCCTGCCAGGTGAGTGTAAAACTGAAGCCTGTAATTGTTTTACATGATGGTAGGATTGCTGGTGTCTTTTTTTTTTTGTGTCTCATACACATGCAAGATTTCAGGTACGTCTTGCTACTTCTACTTACACTTAGGTCACACTACACATACATGTACAAGCATATATATACACACCCCTTTGGGTTTTCTTCTATTTTCTTTCTAGTTCTTGTTCTTGTTTATTTCCTCTTACCTCCAAGGGGAAGTGGAACAATTCTTCCTCCGTAAGCCATGCGTGTTGTAAGAGGCGACTAAAATGCCAGGAGCAAGGGGCTAGTAACCCCTTCTCCTGTATATATTACTAAATGTAAAAGGAGAAACCTTCGTTTTTCCTTTTGGGCCACCCCGCCTTGGTGGGATACGGCCAGTGTGTTGAAAGAAAGAAGAAAAAAGAGAACAATAATTTTCTGTATCTAATTCCTATTATTGTCTTGTTCTTGAAGAATGTTTACCTAAAAAAATATGAGCTAACCACACATACATACAAGAAATGAACTGGTCCCACAATGACTGAGGAAAAATAAAATACAAAATTCAGGTATGCATTATGTTTTTACCTGATGCAAGTTACTCAAACTGAGCAGCCAACCATAGGATTTTTTCAAAATATCCTCACTGAATTTCCATGCCCAAACCTGTTTTCACTTATTTAAGTTTTTCTTATGACCAGTTATAGCAATATTGATTCCACATTTTCTGAGAAATGTTTACCTTAAAATATAAGTTTACCACACACACATATATACCATGTCATCATAAAAAGTGAATGAATTTGGTCCAAAAAAAAAAAATTATTATAAAATTCAGTATTATATCCATTGATTAAGTATGATACCATATAATAAAAAAGTGCTAAGGCCATCCTGTTTTTTTTCTCAATATTTATCTCAATGACTGACCTAAGGTCTTGATGAAAAACTAGTACAGCATAATCATCCTTCCTCAGAAATCAGAAAAAGTAATTTCAGCTGAATCATTATCCTGGTATTTAGATATGTATACCCTAAAATTGTCTCTGATCTTGGTAGGCACTAAATATTACATGGGACACAATACTTGTGTAATATGATAGGGGTGCCCCATCCCAGTAACAAAGAAAAATAGCAGAAATTCCATATGAGTGACAAAGTCATTCATTTGTTTGCAACTCTGCTGCTTCTACTGGCTGTCATTAGTAACAGGGACTTATTAGGTACTTGTTCTGCTCACTTAGTTTCCTGAGAAACAGCATTCACATATTAAAATTTGAACACACTCGTACTGTTTTTAATGTGAAAATTTGCAAAATGTTGAAATCCTTAAACATATTTGGAAAGAGAATTAGACTTACATATTCTAGTGCTATAACAAGATGTATGTGAGAAGAGATTATTTGCTGAGATATATCAGCTCAGTTGATTTACAATGTAATTTTTAATGTATTAAAAATAAAGTTGAATGTTTGGCTAGTTATTTTTTAAGTGATAATTGTTACTGTTGAATGTGAACACTGCTAAATACAGTAGTTATTCAACAGGCAAAAGCTTGCTCGTGAGATGTCTTTACGAGAAGAAGCAGAAAAAAAGCAGAAAGAATATTTAGAACACCTTGAGGAAATGAAAAAAGAAATGGAGAAACGCCAGTCACAACTTCATGAAGCTCAGTACACAATACAGCGCTTAGAAGAACAACTTAAAGAACTGAAAGCTGCCAAGGTTGAGTTAGAACAAAATCAGCAAGAATTACATACAATGATGGTGCGCTTGGAGGAGGCTAAAGAGATGGAAGCTGGAGCAAAGGCAAGACTAGAAGAAGAAATACGTTCCAAGCAAGAGGAGGTTCTGCGTATTCAAGAGGAAGTCAATATTAAAGATGAAGAAACTAGGAAGCTCCAGGTATATATCTCTTGCTTTTATAAGACCTCTCAGTTGCAGTAACAAAAAAATCCAAATTATTCATCCAGTTAGTCATAACATCCAGGAAGTCATAACATCTTATAATAGGCATTGTAGTTTAAATCAACAACATAACTGGAATATGATATTAGCATTCTTTGCAGCAAAACATTAATCATTTAATGATATAGAAAACAAGCTTGTACGAGAAATGTCCAAGTCATGATATGTAGTAATATGGTGTGAAAAAGTATGAATATATATAGTGAAATGCATTTCCACATTATAACACACTTTTGGAATAACATAAATCTACAAACAAACAATGAAGGTATTAAGTACCCATCATACAGTACTGGTAGTTCCAGTTCCTTTGGTTAAAAGCCCTTTTTCCAGTATAATGGCACTCCCCTTAAAGGGTATTTTGAAAATCTGAAATTGATGTTTTACAATCTAGAGACAGAGAGAGACAGACAGAGAAAGACAGAGAGAGAGACAGAGAGACACAGAGAGAGAGAGAGACAGAGAGAGAGAGACAGAGAGAGAGAGACACAGAGACAGACAGACAGAGAGACAGAGACAGAGACAGAGAGAGAGAGAGACAGAGAGAGACAACAGTTCACCAGTGTTTGCAAGTAGCACAAGTGGGTGTAGCATAAATCCTGGATATCATCAAACGTACTTTACATGTGGGAACAAAGCAATGTTCATTCTCATTAATAAATCTGCTGTGTGCTTCATTTTGACTACCGTTCAAACATGGAAACCAAACCTGCAGGCAAGGATTGCCCGCTCCCCTTTTTTTTAATACACTGGCTGTCTCCCACCACATAAGGGTAGCCCAAAATAGAGGAAACATTTTCACCGTTACTCATTCAATCACTGTCTTGCCAGAAGCATACTGATATTGCAGTTCAGATGGCCCTCTGAACTGTAACATTCACACCCCTCCTCCTGAGTGCAGGTACTGTACTTACCACCTCCTGGATTTAAAAAGCTGAAAACTGGAAAAAAAAAAATGAACCAAAGGAAAAATCTTTCATAAGCAACAGATTATATGCTTATTAAATTACATTATGTGTTGACCATAAGAGTTCCTGGGACCCCCAAACTTGTACTACATTAAAAAAAATAAAAAATATATATACGCATACACACGTATATAATTTTGACAAAGTGCTACATCTGTATTTGACATTCAACGTTGAATGCTTGATGGGGTATCTAACACTAGTGTCTAAAAAGGCAGGAGTAAAGTGTGAGGCAGAGCAAGTATGGCAAAGTGCCCAAGGAGTAACAAATAGGATGAATGTGCCACACTTGGATATCATCATTTCTAATAATGTTGGTAGAATTACCGACAATATGTAAAGTAAAAGGACAAATGCAACTAATGTGACATTTTATTCTGGCAACATTTCGCTCTCCAGGAGCTTTGTCAAGCCGTTACAAACAGTACATGGACACAGAGGGTATATATAGGCTCAGAGTGAGGTGCAATACTAGAGGTAGTAGTGACACAAGTTGTAGTAGTAAATAACAATAAAGGCACAATACCGTGACTGGAACGACACACAAACAACCCGCACATAAAAGAGAGAAGCCCACGACGACGTTTCGGTCCGATTTGGACCATTGACAAAGTCACACTACCACCACCTCTTCCTGCCTATATATAGCCGTCCTGCTCCACCTCTGGTTAGTGTGACTGTCAATGGTCCAAGTCGGACCGAAACGTCGTCGTGGGCTTCTCTCTTTTATGTGCGGGTTGTTCGTGTGTGTTGTAGCAGTAGTAATAATACAATATGGTAGAGCAATTAACTCGTACATGAGTAAAAGGATATAAAAGCTATTTGTCTAACTTATTTTATGTTACCCAAATAATAGCTTTTATATCCTTTTACTCATATACGAGTTAATTGCTCTACCATATTGTATTAGTACTACTACTACAACTTATGTCACTACTACTACTACTATCTCTAGTATTGCACCTCACTCTGAGCCTATATATACCCTCTGTGTCCATGTACTGTTTGTAACGGCTTGACAAAGCTCCTGGAGAGCGAAACGTTGCCAGAATAAAATGTCACATTAGTTGCACTTGTGTCCTTTTACTTTACATCATTTCTGCAAGTGAATATACCCAACTGCACCAAATGTCTTATTCATCAATTTTTGGGTGTTGTATATCAAACAGTATGATGCTCAAGAAGTGGTTGAAAGTGCCAGCAAACCCACTATTAAACAGGGAAATCTGTCAGAAGGTTGGACTATCATTACAAACTGGATAAGTCTTCAAGAATAGCTCATAGCCTCCCATAAGATGACCATGGATAAGCTAAGTATGACCTGTTATAAATCACAAGAACACTACTTTCTATATGGATAACCATAAACTCTGCATCATTTATTTAAAATAATTACCAATTCAGACAGACAAAATTGTTAACACCGGGCAATTTCAAAGTTTGAATAGGAAAACCACATAATACATGTTGTTAGGTCTTGAATTATGAATCTTACATTATTATTACATTCATGGAGAATACTAAACCTGTATGGATCATAATGCACCTAAGGAAATGATCAAAAAAAAAAAAAAAAAAAATCATGTGTAATTCCTTGGTCCATAAGCCTCTTGCTGACAGCAAAGAACTTCCCTTAAAGGAGAATCATTCAGAGGAATCAAAGTTTACTGCCCTGTTCACCATTATAGCTAAGGACCCAACATGCAGTGTGTTTACTGTTCATTTGACACAGCCAATGGTGAAAGCTAGTTTAATTGTGAACATTCTTGTACCTGGTTTGACATAATTTACTATCCTGATAGTGTCCAATATTAGATGCAAATAAGCATCCTAAGAACATGGTTTGCTGTCAGTTGCTTCTTGCCAGAATATTTGTACCTCATGCAAAATTGTGTTGGTTGCAGTCCTCATACGGCAATTCCAGATATGGTAATGTATCTATGTTGCGGAGCATTTTTCTGTGTTGTAGTTACCCTGGTATATCAGAGGTGTTCATGCTAATGTTAGTACATTTAGCATGAGAGTAATGTAGTTAGCATACACTTGACAGGGGTGCTTGTGTTATGAGCTCAGCCCAAGTCCAGTGGCAACATATACATGCAGTACAGCCTCTCCTCACTTAGCAACGTGCTTGTTTACCGACGACTCAGACTTACAACGGGCTCTCTGACCTGTGTGCATATCTATATAATGTATATTAGAGCTGATTTCCTCTATTCTGTTTATTAGAATACATAGTACACTACTGTATAAACATTTAAAAATATACTATCAGAAATGTTATAAATTGTGCAAAGGTGACATTAAAACAATATCAAGAAGGTTGACACAAACCCACTACCATTAGCGACGAATCTGTTTACCAACGTGGTCTTAGGAATGGAACTCCATCGTTAAGTGAGGAAAGGCTGCACAATATTTTAATAATTGTTTCAATTAAGACGATCAGCAGATGACTAACATACATCCTTTTCATATGCCACAGTTTTCTAGGCTGTGCTGTTTCTTTGGTATTAAATCATGATCCTTGTGATGTTGCATATTACAGAATTTCAGTTATTGGTGATTTGAAGTCTTCTCTGATTTCAACACATTCAAACCTCAGTTCAATTGAGTCTGCTGAAACTAAGCCAAAGGCATCAGTGTAGAGTATATCCATGTAGACCTTTGTGTCTTTACATCGAGTTTCATCCCTAAAGTATTGCCGAAGCAGTTAGTTGTACAGCACAACTCATTTAGCATTATTATTATAATCGAAAAGAAGCGCTAAACCAACTCGGGTCATACAGTGCTGGTATCTTATTTTGAGGCTTGTGTGGAGGCACTGTGAAGAATACAATAAATTATAGCCTGAGATAGGTTGGAAAACAGCCGAGTGTAATTTTGGTTCTTGTAAGCAAGCACCAACAGGGGAAAACCTGGAAAGCAACATCTGAAGCTCACCCCGATTACCCCTGAGGCCGCGGCTATTCCACTGTAAATAGGCCATGATTGGCGATGAAGAAAATATCAGGAATCTGTAGGTAAAGGCACCTACGGACTAGAGGGGTTAGAAAAGTCAACGTGTGGTGGCATTGGAAGACGTTCAAGTAGCGAAGGAACGGAGCGTTGCGAAGAATGGGGTTGTGAAGATGGAGGAGAGGGAAGAGAAGGAACAGGAAGTGAATCAGTGTCCATTGAAGGTTTAGTCTCTGCAATATATTCTGAAATGGCTTCAAGTGTTTCTGAATTCAAAGATGTATGGGAGACCATATTGGAGATAGAAGGAGGAGGGTGAGTAAAGATTGGGACAGTAATGGACTGTACCAAAGTAGAGGGGGAGGGAAGAGTGTAAGGGACTGGAGATGAAGTGTGGGGGGGACAGAAGAGGCAGAAACCTGGGAGGTGGCAGAAGAGGGAGAAACTTGGGAGGGGACGGGGGTGGAAGGCATAGTACGAGGAGGAGGGTGAATCTCCACACTTGTAATAAAGCCAGAGAGAGGGGAAGAACTAGGTACAGAGACTGGAAAGGTAAAGTGTGGAGGTGGAAGAAGGGAAGGAAGGGGCAAAGAAGATTTGAGCAATGTGGATTTTTTGGACTTCTGAGTAGAGGGGCGATTGGTATTAGGTGCCGTACGAGGTCTTGTCGATACTGGGGCTTGTGAGGAAGGACGCGAAGATGTGAGAACAGACCGAGTTGTAGTCGGGATGTCAGAGCCAAGGACAGCAAAAGGATTAGATGCCGTAGGGGCTATGGGAGGGGTAACAACAGAGGAGGCTGCAAAAGATGGGACCCCAAAGGGGGGGGATGTTTGGAAAAACACGAGAATAAAAAACACGGGGGAGTCTCCCTTGGAGGAGGAGATGAGTAACTGCCATAGCATGAGGGAGACCTTCTGCCTCTTTGAGGCAACGATTTCACGTTCATTTAAATAGACCTGGCAACGGCGGGAGTACGAAGGGTGAGCTTCATTACAATTAAGGCAAGATGGAGGTTGACTGCAAAGATGTATTAGAATGGTCGTCGGCACCACAGACTGGGCATTCGGCCATAGATCTGCAATATTTCGCTGGGTGCCCAAAAACGCCAGCAATTTCTACATTGTTGCGGTGTAGGTATCACCTTTCGAACTTGTAACCGATGTCCCGCGACACATACAGAGGAGTTCTCGGCTGTCAAAAGTTAAACGAGCCACATTGCAAGGGTAACGTCTCCGCCCCCGGGCAGGAAGGACATAAGGGGTCTACTTTGAGGATTGGGAGATCCTGGAGTTCCAGCTGTTCAAAAATGTCATTGCCACATGACTAAAAATTTTCTGTTGGACTATGGTATGGGCTAGAATGCAGTACCACTACAAGAATTGAGAGAAAGATTTTTTTTCAATAGTGACAGGAGTAGTATCAATATTTCAAAAGGAGAGAAAGATCATGAGCTTGGGCAGCTTCTGGACAGTGACAATGCGCATACCGCTCTTGAGAGCATGAAATGAAATATCTCTACCACAGACGCAGGAGCGCTTTGCCAATACTATGGTCAGAAAAGGGAGGCAGAAGAAGAAGTCGGTCTTAAAGTAAAGAATTTAGTCCATTGTGTAGTCCGAAACTGAGCATGGAGAGGGAGTGCTTTACGTGTCGGTCTTTTCCGAGTAGAATGGGAAGGTAAAAGAAGGAGCATCATCAGGGGATTGACGTTGGCGTTTAGGAGTAGGACCGGAGGGTTTGGGCCGGGGTGAAACGGGCGGGCGATTCGAAAATTGCCGTACCGTAGGGGGGAGAAGCAGGAAGCATAGTCAAGGAGAGCGGAGTTCAGACAAATCGAAGGAGTCAGTCGAAACCCTGGTACCTGAAGCGGGTGAGGAAACAGCACCAGCAAGAGGTACAGGGGCATCAGGAGTGTCCGAAGAGTGGTCTAAACACAAGGCAGGGTCAGAATGGGTGCGGTTTTCAAGAAGGGGCCCGGGGTAGTGGGTTCATGGACTAGGGCTGCCATGGTTAGGTTACTCCTTTGCTTTTTGTTTTTAAGAAAAAAAAGAAAAAAAGAAAGAAAATAAAATAAAAAAAAAAAATAAAAAAAAAGGGGGGAGCGGGGAGGAATAGTTCCCAGGAGGAATGAAAGGGCCGGAAATCTCCCTCCGCGCCCAAGAGGACCTCAACACCGCTAGTAGCGCAGATGCAGCATGGAACCCGTGCCATACCTACCCCTTTATGCCAGTAAACAGCAAATCCGGGATAGCAACCTCACATCTGCCGAGCTACCTCGGTGGACAAAAGAGAGGGCGGCCGGAAATCCGCCACAAAGCATACCTCCTTCGGCCACCACCCCCGGAATCCGAAAGGTGGCTTCCAGAGATATACCCGTCGCCCGAAAGACACCCAAAGCTACTCCGGGATACCGGAGAGGGATTGGGACATCCCCAGGCAATCCAGATTCCACGGCAAACTACGCCACCGCCAAGAACCTCAACGGAATGGGATGGATCCCGGTGTCCTTTCCCCTACCTAGGAACTAGCGCGCCTGTGGGAGAAATCCCAAAGGCCAAAAAGAGGAAGGGCAAAAGGGAGGGGTGAGGAGGAGGAGGAGGAATGGAGGATGGGATAGGGGAGGGGAGAATGGGGGGTAATTAGGTTCGGTCTAAGGAAGAAGACCGACAGGGCTAATTCCTCAGACCAAGAGCCTCTTCACCATGCCAAGGAGCCCCCCTTGAAGATGAGCAATATTCCAGCCTTGAGAGAGCAAGCGATTTGAAAAGAATCATCACTGGCTTGGCATCCCTAGTTTTGAAGGCTCTGATTATCCATCCTATCATTTTCCTAGCAGATGCGGTAGATACATTGTTGTGATCTTTGAAAGTGAGATCCTCTGACATTATCACTCCCTGGTGGATAGTCTTGTAGAATAAGAATAGTATTAGTAGTGCTTGATCTCTTACCATGTTACATTGTGCTTGCACATGCATATTTTTTTTTTTTTTTTTTTTTTTTTTTTTTACTTCAAGTCTGAAGTTAAATTTCCTAGGGGTTAGGGCAAAGGTCACAAGGTGCATAAAATAATTCATTTTCTAAAACTCATTACTTGCCACAATTCACAAGTTGGTCAAATATCCTTGGGTAAAAAAGGGGTATGGGGTGTTAAAGATATGATTCAAGGAGAGGACTAAAATATGCATTTTCCTCATATCAAGAGCCCTTCACCAAAATCAAGGGCATATGACATTAGGTGCGAAAGTCTTTCTATAACATTTTTGCACTCCAGCCTGTATTAAATGTTAAAAAAAAAAAAAAAAAAAAAAAAAAAAAAACTAACAATTTTAACATGGGATGTGTGAATTGAAAATGCTTTACTATACAGTATAAACTCATCAACCTCAAATAAGGTAGCTTGACCTGTGATATGAATTAATCGATATCTATTATAGGTAGAATAGATAACTCATTACTATTTATTATTACAGGAGTAGAAATACATTAGTGTTTCCTGTAATTTCCGACATGTACAGTACAGTACTTTTTTTTCTCAAGTCTGCGTGACTGTTGTACATACTGTATATACTATCTCCTCTTAGAGCCCATGCTGCCTCACCACCTCTATAGGTCAGGCAACAACTCTTATTGTCTTTTCTGCACTATTTTCATATCTAAAATAACACCATTGTTGCTGGTTTCAAATGATCTTCCCAGTACAAAACCATTTATGAATTTACATGTGGTTATTATTCTTCATATTTTTGTCTTCCACTAAGGGTACTTCCAGTGTCTTCAATTTCCCACAGTTGTAAAATTATCAAATATCTGTAATCTGAATGATGATTGTAAAATACTGCTAGTGCCAGCAGACTGACAAACCGCAAAGGAGAAGTGAAATATAAAAGCTTAAAATTTTTAACGAATCCTCAATCTCAACATATGTTCAGTGCAGTACCTCATACACTTTTTTTGCAACTTACAGGCAGAAGTGGAGGAAGCACGGCGTAAGGAAGAAGAAGCAACACTGGCTCTTCTTACTGCTTCAACTGTACGCAGGCTTTCGAAACAGTCGTCATCATCATCATCATCATCATCATCATCTGAGAGTGAACACGAAGCAAGGAGGAAGGATTTTCCAAGAATGGAAACCGCTGTGCAGCAGAGTTCGTACAATGGAGGGATAGGAACCATATATGATTATGAAGGGAAAGATAAAAGTCTCTCCAGCACCAACACTTCCAGGAGTGCAACCCCCAGTGCTGCATCCCATGCCATGGAAACAATTAGTGTGAATTCAGAAATTTTGGAACCAAAACAAGACAATTCTGCCTTTCGGAGGATGAAATTACTTGAGGCAAGTGCTTTATTGTTCATTCATGTCTATATTTATTAAAACTACTGCTGGTGAGGAGCTCTTGGTCTAGAGAAGTGGAATTATCCATCCCTTCTTTGGGTTGCCTTCAGCTGCCCTATAATTCCAATGACACTGTATAACCCCTGTTGCTTTTAGTACTTCCCCCAAGAAAATAATAATTAGATAGGTAGTAGATTGGTAGACAGCAACCACCCAGGGAGGTTCTACCGTCCAGCCAATTGAAGCACAAACCTGTAACTGTTTTACATGATGGTAGGATTGCTGGTGTCCCTCTTTTCTATCTCGTAAACATGCTGGATAACAGGATCACACTACACAGGCATGCACATGCATATATACAATGGTACCTTGACTTACAAGTTTAATTTGTTCTGTGACCGAGCTTGTAACTCAATTTGCTTGTATATCAAATCAATTTTCCTCACTGAAATTAACTGAAATGCCATTAATCTGTGTCAGCCCCCAAAAAACCTGAACCTCGAGGGGCAGGAGAAAATACTTCAATATAATGCTAATATCAACTCTACAGCTTATTTATCTATCAGAAGTGATCTAATATGACATAATAAACACCATAAGTAACAGAAACATATATACTCTAGAATGAATAAAATAGGTCACAATATGGCGAGTGTCCAGGACCAGTCCAAGCATATAAAATCATTACTGCTCCTTCCTGTAACATTCTTTGGTCCTGGGTAAGAGAAAACAGAGTTTTTGAGAGGCTAACTGTACTAGATCACTTGTTTCATAAGGAAAACACTGAAACAAAAGCGATTTTCTCGGAAAAAATGTGTGTGGATGATAAGAAAGAGATGACTGCTAATGTTATGAACGAAAAGAAGTTGGATGTCCTAGCACTCAGCAAAACAAAGCTGAAGCGGGTAGGCGAGTTTCAGTGGGGAGAAATAAACGGGATTAAGTTAGGAGTATCTGAGTGAGAACTAAGGAAGGGGTAGTAATAATGTTGAAGGATCAGTTATGGAAGGAGAAGAGGGAATATAAATGTATAAATTCGAGGATTATGTGGACTAAAATAAGGGTCGGATGCAAAAAGTGGGTTATAATAAGTGTGTATGCCCCTGGAGAAGAGAGGAGTGTAGAGGCGAGAGATTTTGGGAGACGTTAAGAGAGTGTGCAGGAACTTTTGAACCAAATGAGAGAGTAATTGTGGTAGGGGCCCTAAATATTAAAGTATGAGAAACATTTAGAGAGGGTGTGGTAGGTAAGTTCAGGGTGCCAGGTGTAAATGACAATGGGGGCCCTTTGATTGAACTTTGTATAGGAAGGGGTTTGGTTATAGGTAATACATATTTTAAGAAAAAGAGGATAAATAAGTATACAAGATATGATGTAGGGCATACTGAAAGTAGTTTGTTGGACTACATATTTGTAGATAAAAGACTTCAGGATGTACATGTTTAGAGAGGGGCCACAGATATATCAGATCACTTTTTAGTTGTAGCTACAGTGAGAATAAAAGGTAGATGGGAAACAAGGAAAATAGAAGCAGCAAGTAAGAAAGAGTTGAAGGTTTATAAACTAGAGGAGGAGGAGGCAGTTAGGGTAAGATATAAACAGCTATTGGAGGATAGATGGGCTAGTGAGAGTATGGGCAATGGGGTCAAAGACGTATGGGCTAGGTTTAAGAATGTACAGCAGAAGTTTGTGGTTACAGGAAAATAAGTCTAAGAGGGAAGAAGAGTTATTGGTGGAATGATTATGTAAAAATAGTAGTAAGGGAGAAAATGTTAGCATATGACAGGTTTTTACAAAGTAAAAGTGATGCAAGGAGGGAGGAGTATATGGAGAAAAAGAGAGAGGTTAAGAGAGTGGTGAAGCAATGTAAAAAGAGAGCAAATGAGAGAGTGGGTGAGATGTTATCAACAAATTTTGTTGAAAATAAGAAAGTTTTGGAATGAGAATAATAAGCTGAGGAAGCCGAGGGAATAAATGGATTTGATAGTTAAAAATAGGAGAGGAGAGTTATTAAATGGAGAGTTAGAGGTATCGGGAAGATGGAGGGAATATTTTGAGGAATTGTTAAATGTTGATGAAGATCGGGAAGCTGTGATTTCGTGTATAAGGAAAGGAGGAATAACATCTTGTAGGAGTAAGGAAGAGCCAGTTGTGAGTGTGAGAGAAGTTTGTGAGGCAGTGGGAATAATGAAAGGGGTAAGGCAGCTGAGATTGATGGGATAAAGACAGAAATGTTAAAAGCAGGTGGGAATATAGTTTTGGAGTGGTTGGTGCTTTTATTTAATAAATGTATGGAATTGGCAGAGACAATGCATAGTTCCTTTGTTTAAAGGCAAAGGGGACAAAAGAAAGTGCAAAAATTATAGGGGAATAAGTCTGTTGAGTATACCTGGTAAAGTGTATGGTAGAGTTGTTATTGAAAGAATCAAGAGTAAGACGGAGAGTAGGATAGCAGATGAACAAGGAGGCTTTAGGAATGATAGGGGAGTATGTAGACCAAGTGTATACAGTGAAACACATATGTGAACAGTGTTTAGATAAGGGTAAAGAGGTTTTTGTGGCATTTATGGATTTGGAAAAGGCGTATGACAGGGTGGATAGGGGGGCAATGTGGCAGATGTTGCAAATGTATGGAATAGGAGGTAGGTTACTTAAAGCAGTGAAGAGTTTTTACGAGGATAGTAAGGCTCAGGTTAGAGTATGTAGGAGAGAAGGAGATTATTTCCCAGTAAAATTAGGCCTTAGACAAGGTTGTGTGATGTCACCATGATTGTTCAATATATTTATAGATGGGATTGTATGAGAAGTGAATGCTCGGGTATTGGCAAAAGGTATGTGGTTAAAAGATAAAGAATCTAACAAAGTGGGAGTTGTCACAGTTGCTCTTTGCTGATGACACTGTGCTTTTGAGAGATTCTGAAGAGAATTTGCAAAGGTTGGTTGATGAGTTTGGTAGGGTATGTAAAAGAAGAAAATTAAAAGTGAATATAGGAAAGAATAAGGTGATGAGGATAATAAAAAAAATTAGGTAACAAGAGATTGGATATCAGATTGGAGGGAGAGAGTATGGAGAAGGTGAATGTATTAAGATATTTAGGAGTGGACATATCAGCAGATGGGTCTATGAAAGATAAGGTGAATCATAGATTGGCGAGTTGAAAAAGGCAGGTGGTGCACTTAGGAATCTGTGGAGACCAAGAACTTTGTCCATAGGAGCAGAGGGGAATATATGAGAGTATAGTTATACCAACACTCTCATAAGGGTGTGAAGCATGGGTAGTGTATGTTGCAACAAGGAAAAGGCTGGAGGAGTGGAGATGTCATGTCTGATGAAAATGTGTGGTGTGAATATAATGCAGAGAATTTATAGTTTGGAAATTAGGAGGAGGTGCAGGATTACCAAAACCATTATCCAGAGGGCTGAGGAGGGGTTGTTGAGGTGGTTTGGACATATAGAGAGGATTGAAGAAAATAGAATGACTGAGAGTGTATAAATCTGTATTGGAGGAAAGATGGGGTAGGGGTAGGGGTAGAGTCCCCCATGGGAGGTTTTGCGTGCAAAGGGCTTGGATTTCCAGCAAGCATGTGTGAGCACGTTAGGAGTAAATGGAGGCAAATGGTTTTTATGGAGGGATTCACGGAAACCGGCAGGCCAGACTCGAGTCCTGGAGATGGAAGGGGGGTTGTTAATGTTGCAGTTTTATAACTGTAGTGTAAGCGCACCTCTGGCAAGACAGTGATGGAGTGAATGATGATGAAATTTTTCTTTTTCGGGCCTCCCTGCCTTAGTGGGATATGGCTGAAATAATTATTATAATTGAAAAAACTAAGCCCAAATAATCAGAGATGCAAGACATCAATAAAGTCAAATCAGGGAAAGGATTAGCAGCTAAAGGATGCAAATTATAAGCACAAAATAGGCCTAATCTATAGGATGCAAAGTACACTAAGGAATAACATTATTTAACTAGGCATACACTTCGCACTTCAGTGCACCATACAGACATAATGCCTCTATTTTCTAGTTATCTTTTCATGGTTAAGTTTTTGACACTCTACAAGATTATAATAACCAGAGTGAAGGTATAAAAAAAAGGGACCAGAAATGGATTTTTCAAAAAATTTCTTACATTCACCTTGAATATTGTAATAAAATAGAGCATGTATTTGCTCCTAAAATTAATTTGCACAAATGAAAGGAAAACTTTGCAACAGTTCAGTCCATTCTGGATGGACAAACTTTTACTGTTTTTCAAATCTGTGGGTGACTTGCAACATATATTACCCATAGTGTTACAACTAGTACTTTATTCGGAGAAAACAAGTTTAACCCTTTGACTGTTTTGGTTATATATATATACAGTGGAACCTCTACTTGCGAGCGCATCCACCTGTGAGTTTTTCCAAATACGAGCAGTCGATGGGTTGATTTTTTGCTTCCATACGCGAGCAAAATTTCCATAAGTGAGCAGACCTCAAGGGAGGTTCCTTGATGCTCGTGAGGAGCTCTTGTTCTTGATCTAGGGAATTGTATCTCATTTGTTTGTTGGACTAGCTTATTGAAACTTGGGCAATGTATGACAGAAAGACGCTTCTTAACGTTCACCAAAAATGAATTAAATCGGAGCATAAATAATGGAGTTCACTTCTCAACAATTAGCCACCCCTTAGCGGTATTTTCGTATGGTTTTTATGGTTGTATTCTCGTTTTTTTTTTGGTCTCATTTGATATAATGGAAGATACATTACAGAAATAGATATGATTTTGATTGCTTTCACGACAAAATGCACCTTGAAACTGAGCTCAACGAGGGAGAAATGCTCGTTTGCTTGACCATGTTCAGTTGAGTTGTGAATGGGTTGACATTATAGAATTATTGCAATAAGGCATAACAGTAAATCTTATATTTTTTGTGTGAATAAAAATTACGAATTATTTATATTGTAATAATAATAACAGTAATAATAATAATAATAATACGTATAATTATAATAATACAATAA